GGGGGGGGGGGGGGGGGGGTGCTACAGGTTCTGATTGTTGCCCTTAACCACACCAGTATAAAGCAGGAAGACTACAGATGTGGGGGGAGCATTTGAGGTACAGATCCTCCTACACTCCATGGGGGGGGGAAGTCAAACCTTAAACCCAGGCAGACCATATCAGTAAAGGTCAAAGGTCCACCATGGTCCTCACAGTGACACAGTGATGGGGCGCGAAAGCAGAAAACTAATCACCCGCCCCTGAAGGCAGATGACACGTTTACGTTGTTCCCCTCCCCCACCACACACACACACACGCGCGCACAGACACACACACACACACACACAGCATGGAGGACACACACAGAAAACTGGCATTCCCAGCACCTCTACAGTATGACTGAAGGAAAGAAATAGGAAGAGGCACCGAGCGGGCAGGGGGGGGCAATCAGCGCTTCCTAGTGCTCTCCCAAGCTAGCTTATGTGACCGAGAGGGTCTGCACCAAGCAGGAAATGACACTCACAAACTCACATTTCAGGGAAGAACAGGACCAACACAACTCTGACTGCCCAACTGCCAGAGCCGTGCTCTCTGCTGCCCCCTGTATCCCTTCACTGGGACAACAGGAGAACAGCCAGTGTCAGTACTAAATGGGATGGGGACCCAGTTTCCTGCATGACCTCCATGCTTATCCGAATGCCATGGGGGGGGGGTGTTAAGTGTGGAGGATCAGCGGACAGCACAAGTCCACACACAGGGCACTAGATGTCAGGCACTGGAGGGGGGGGGTGTATGGCAGGGCCATTTTAAGAAGGTCCTTGGGGTTTAGAACAGGTGCAAGGGTTCTTGCATGAGGAAGCGTGAGGTTTAGTTCTCAACTGGGCGGGAAGCAGAACCCACTGGTGGTCCCACGGGGCCTGGGGGCATCCCATCGGGCTGGGAGGGGGGCGGGGCCGGATCTGGAATAAAAAGAAAAAATAAGTCAACTGAATCTTAACCCCCAAGCAGGGAACCAAGGTGTAGACCACGCAAGACAGGAGGGGGCGCAAAAGAACGGTCAAGTGACAGCCTCGGGGGGGGGGGGGGGGGGGGGTGTGACTATTCAGGATGCTGACTGTCATCTTCTTATGGCGGCTGCATACTTCAGACAATGTCCTGACATAACAAAACTGAACACATCAGTGCAAGCGATCAGCTGCACACTTAAAACGACACAGATTCATATGCAGACCACAAATAAACGTAGAGTGGTGGGTGTACGAGTCATTTTAATAAAGCAGCTGAGAGCTCTTTTAAAATGGAGGTTGCTCTCTTTATTAACGACCACTAGTGGTTTAATACTTGCAGCGGCGCAGACTGAGAAGCCAGCAAATTAAACGACATGGTCACACGCCAGCGAAACACACACATTTAGTATTTACAACATAAATACGCACATTAATTTACACTATTTACAGATAAACATGGTGAAATGCAAAGCATGCTGGTAACTGCATATTTAGTCCTGCTGACTATCCCTGTGACGTCACATTATGTCAGCCAATCATGGACAGAATAAATAAAAGGTTTGCCTTGAGGACCCTGCACAGGCAGAGCACCGAAACAGCAATCACCATGGTGATCAGCGCATACTGATACTGCATTGTATCGCTATAGCAACACTGATTCTGTCAATTTAGTTTGAAGTATACAGCCACCTTAAGGGCGATGCACCTTGTTCTTAAACTCCCCCAGTCAAGCTGGAAAGCTCACCTCACTCAGCTACACGTAAGCATCTTACCAGCACAATGAATCAGTACCGCGGTGCATGCTGGGAAGCGTAAAATGGTTTAACTGTGACAGAGAGAGAGACTCACACATGCCATTGGGGGCTGCAGGGTGCCTTGGCACCATCATAGGGGGCATGCCGGGCTGGGGAGGGGCACTGGGGGGAGGCCCGGGCATCATGCGGCCTGGCATGCCTTGACCTGGCACCCCCATAGGACCTGCTGGTGACAGAAAAAGAGGAGAGATGCAGCTGTAAATGGGAGCAGGCAAGCAGGCGATAATAATGAGTTTAACTGCTCTGACAATTACGGCCTGCTGGGATGTGAAAGGACAAGGCCCAAAGGTCACTTATCGTTAGCATATTACTGATCAGTAGGCTTGGGTGGTGTTACAGTATTACAATATACCGCAGTATTTAGAATACAACAGTGGTATTTTGAAGCTTGGTGAATTTTATAACTAGGACACCAGAATAGTGTCGCTTGGGCCAGGCGTTTTCCCATCGCACCAGGTTCCATATTTTTTGCACTTCAAGAAAGTACCCAAAGTACGATACTTCAAGGTGTTGGCTTTCCATTGACGGAAAACTGGTACCGGCGCTGAATGACATAATGCGAGCCAGGGTATTTTGTACTGAAGTCAAAAAAGGGCTGTAGTATATCACATGCCTTGGCGATGTGCAATTTTAATACCAACATCTTTAACCTCCATACTATAATGTCCATAAAGTAAGAAAAAGTCTTATTTTAATATAGCTATCTGACTAGCGATGTAAGAACAATATGTGGATAACATGCAATGTTGGTAACAGTCAACCAAGCCCAGTGACCCCAGGCTTACGAGGCTGGGGGGGCATATGGGTAGAAGGGGCTTACCTGTCTGCATGGGGTGGTGGGGGCCCATGGGATGATGCATGGAGTGGTATCCTGGGGCCGGATGCCCATGCATGCCAGGTGGGGGCCCGGGGGGCATGGCAGGGCCAGGGGGGCCGCCATGGTTGTGGGCAATGCCCTGCTGCTCGTGCTGCTGGCGCGCCTTCATCTCCGCGTACCGGAGCTGCTCCATGTGGAAGGCCTGGCGCTCAGTCAGGAGCTGCTGTCTCTGCAGCTCCAGCTGTCGGGTGAGGAGGGTTAGGCTGGGCGGAACTGGATGACTGACAGCTATAGGGTCAAATCCCAGCAGACCGAGCATCTCGCTTGAATGGACCGGCTCAGTAAACTGGCAGGTATTACAATGGTGACAAGGGAAGCAGGAGGATTATCAGGACAGGACACCAAAGAACCGAGCTGAGCGTTGGGTCCCCATCCAGGGGACAGAGAGGACGTGCAGCCACTCCTGCGGTGAGTGCCCAGTGCCACTCATTATTACAAAGCACCGAGGTCACTGCTGAACTGTGTCACACCCCAGAGGAACCCCAGCAGTGACATGGCTCATTCACGTCATGCAAGCGGCCTGGTCTCACATCCCCTGGAAGACCAGGACACAGGGCCCAGTTCGGCCACATGCTGGACACAACCGTACCCATGGCGCTGATGGGGGAACGGGGCTGCTGAAGCTGCCCGGCTGGCCTGACAGGTACCACAGGCCTGCTGCTGAAGCTGCCCGGCTGGCCTTACAGGTACCACAGGCCTGCTGCTATTTGCATACGCACCGCTTCCTTTTCTCTGTCCATGATGGTCTCCAGCTCTTCAAAGTGCCTCAGCTTGATCTCCAGTTTCTTCATTTGTGTCTCCACCAGCAGGGCGACCAGAGACTTGATCTTTCTCTCCTCCACCGCAGCCAAATGCTTCAGTTTAGAGGGGCGGGGGGGGGGAAAGAGCAGGAGAATCCCCGTGAGGCTCATTACACCCTCTTTTATAGGTAATAATGACACTCACTAACGATCGAAGGTGAGGCTAGCAGTGCATCCCCTTCAAACACAGGTTGCATCCTCCACAACATGACAGGCCTGGGTCAGCATATGCTGAGCAGCAGGACGAGTGTGGTTTGAAGATGACAGCTAAGCTAACATGCTAACGAAAAGACCCTGAGGCTGCTGTACCTACCTTGGCCTTGGTGGCCGCGGAGGCCAGAGCTGCAGCTGCTGCAGTGGCGATGTTCCCCTCTCCGACATCATGCACCAACTTCTTCTGGTTTTCCTCTTCTTCCGCCTCCTTGGGGTCTTCTGACGTGTCCATGGTCTCTTCCTTATCTTTATCTAAAGTGCCAACTATCACAGCGAATGTCCACATTATTCTCAGCAGCACAACAGCCCACAACAGTAAAGTTAATCAGAAGGTTATCAGTTCAAGGCCCTTCTAGGGGGTCTCACCCGAAGCCTTGCCTTCCTCCGTTCTCTCACTCTCTCCCTCCTCTCCTCCTTCATTTTCTTCCTCCGGGTCAGCTGGTGGCTCCGGTGCCTCATTCTTCGTCCTTTCTCCCTCTGCAGATTCCGCCGGTTTCTCTGCCTCGGCCTGGTGCAAAGCAGATGTCAGCTAAGGTGGACTGGGATGTGGGGGTGGGGTTTGGGCAAACTGAGGCTGCACTCGCACCTTGTCAGCTGGCTGAGATTCAGAGTCTGTTTCCATCTTCTCAGGGTCAGAAGACTCTTAATAAAGGTGAGAGATGGTAGAATTAATATCTTTCATAGAGCATTTCCAAGGATCGGCATCAGGGACTGCAGATCATCTACAAGACCTTGAATCCTTACAAGACTGCAGCACCAGATGGAGAATTTTACCATAATCCTAGGGGTCCTGTGGCCTGGATTTGGCACAGCTCTTAGGGAGAACCCTGTGGCCTGGATTTGGCACAGCTTTTAGGGAGAACCCCAACAGCTGTGTTTTAATGAAACGCCAGAAGACACGTTTTATGACAACTTAAAGCCAACAGCCGCTTCAGCTGAGAGCACACAAACAGAGATCCCAAAACCGCTATCAGAACCAGTTCCAAGGTCCATCTATAAAAGCAGCAGCCACACACCCGGCTGACAGGTACCCAAACACATCAACATCACAGTTCGTTCCACATGGTTCTCCAGCAAGCAGAAAGTGAACGACCTAGGAGGACATTCCTTTCTGGCGGCAAACTACCAACAGTGCAGCAGAGGCCGTCTAACCAACACAAAGCCTTCTACCAGCATACAGCACGCGGATGAGCTTTCAGATCTACATGTGCTGAACGGCTGGGTGACAGTCAGACAGCAGCCAGGTTACCGGTCTTCTCCGGCTCGTCCGGCGCCGTGCCAGCGATGCCGCTGCTCTCCAGGCCGAAGGCGGGGTCCAGCTTCCCCGTGCTGCGGGCGGCATCTCGCACCTTCTTCACGTGAGCTTCCACCAGCTCAGTCGGCACTTCTTCCCGCACACGGGAGAACTCCTCTGGGGGGGGGTCACACGGCACAGGGGTGAGAACACAAACAGAAATAGAGGGAGCCCAGACAGATGAGAGGAGTAGAGCTCAGACGTCTGACACGTCACCCCTCACCTAAGGCGGCCCTGGCTGCAGCGGCCGCCACGCGGGGATCCACCACGGACGCCAAGAAGGCCACCGTGCTCATGACGGGGTTCCCCGACTGGCTGAAGGGCACGGGCTGGTAGGCCAGCGGCCCGAGAGAGGCGTCCGAGTTCTCCAGGTACGGGTCCTCGATGGGCAGCCGCAGGAAGTGCAGGATGCACTCGTCCTGCGTGCGGCTGCCCACGTGCTCCGACACCTTGTTCCAGTCGTCCTTGTACATCTCCAGGCCCTGTCGGACAGGGAGTTTCACACCAGTAGAGGGCATCTCTAACGTGATATTTCTTGACATTTATCTATAACGTTTATAATAATAAAAATAAACAAGGAAAACAATTTTCTACAGAATTACACCTGAGGACCAATGGCACCCAGTGGAAGCTGACTAGTAAAAGCAATTATAGGATGAACCAGCCCACAGCTAAGAAAACACAAGTGACATCAGACCGGGGGGCGGGGGGGACTCTAATGAATGCAGCCCAATGATTGGTCTCACCTCCAGCAGCAAGAGGGTTTCCTGTTCAGTCCACTCCCTGCCCGCACTGGCTCCTTTACTCTGAGGAGCAGACAGAAGATGTCGGAGTTGGGGGAGAATGAAAAAAGTTTAAGATTTGCCAGTAACCACAGGAACTCACACAAAGGAAAATTCTAATTCCAAATAAATCTGTAACTATACTAGAACACTAACTGCACTCTTTGCCTAGTATAACAGGCAGACCTAGAGCAGCCTAATATAGGCGTGAGAGACAGATCACAGGCAGACCTAGAGCAGCCTAATATAGGCGTGACAGACAGACCACAGGCAGACCTAGAGCAGTTTAATATAGGCGTGAAAGACAGACCACAGGCAGACCTAGAGCAGTTTAATATAGGCGTGAAAGACAGGCTACAGGCAGACCTAGAGCAGCCTAATATAGGCGTGACAGACAGAACACAGGCAGACCTAGAGCAGCCTAATATAGGCGTGACAGACAGAACACAGGCAGACCTAGAGCAGCCTAATATAGGCGTGACAGACAGACCATGGGCAGACCTACCTTGGGGTTCTTCTTTGCATAGACATCTGTACGAAGGCCAAAGTTTTGCAGGTCAATGGGCTTGTCCTTGAACTTCTCAGGAAAGCTGAGCATCTGCTGAGCAGCTGGCAACTGGAAGGAGGGGGCAGGGCAGCGTCACACACTGGCAGCAGTGAAGCATCAAACAGGGCCAGTGGGCTGCTAGGATGAGGGCTGAGCTGCACCTGAGGGGGGCGGTGATGCAATGGCATCAGGCCTGAAGGAGTATCTGCCAGTACGTTGAAGTGGGGGGTGGGCGGGGGCCCCATTGGCAGAGGCCGGCTGTCTGCATCCACCTGGTAGTTAATCAGCCCCCACTGCTCCAGAAAGGCGTGCACCCTGCAGGGGGGCACAGGGTAACCATCAGGAGGAGCATACTGGGGTGAGAATGTTAGCAGGCTTAGTCGAACCAAACTCACACCGGCACCGTACTACCCCTAAACGCAGGGCAGAGCACCCGGAACACGGGGGGATCGATGCGCACCCCCCACTGACCTCATGATGGCACAGACGTCCCCCGTGAGGTTCCGGCGGCAGGAGGTAGAGGTGAGGTACTCCTGAGGGTTGAGGCGGTATGTGTCTATCATGAAGTTCCTATAGGCCAGGTATCTGAGGGGGTCAAACAAACGGGGCGCTTACTTCAATACCAACGTCTAAATGTCACCACGCATCTAACCAACCATGAACATATGCGCCGCCCCCCCCCACCCCGCCCCGCCCTCGAGAACAAGCGTGCAGAGACAGCATGCATGAGAGTGGCAGCTGGGACCCAGGCACTCACATCTCTGGAGATTTGGATTTGTTCTTGCCGTTGAAGAACTCTGGGAGGGCCCTCCTCTCAATTTCATGGATACTACAGGGAAGACAAGAGGTGGTGTAAACAATTAACGCTGTTCGTCGATAAGGAGATACCCTCATGAACGTGGCTTTGAGGCTCCAGTCTTAAAAAAGGGAATAACACGTAAACACAAAGCTTACCAGTTGTAGTCGAACCAGGCAGCGTAGCTGGGGATGATAATATGGTGAGTTTGCTCTGTCACGTTGTCTTCCCCATGGTCCAGCAAGCGATTCACCTCCGTCTTGCCCTCATCCTCATCCTGCAGGGGGCAGCAAAGAGACAACGCGCTGAAGTCAGACTACACGCATGGACTACAGTTTGTGGGATGACACTCAATCTTTGTAGCGATTCCTTTGGAAATAAAGAACCCTGCTGTAACACACTGAAAGACAGCGACACTGAACCAAGCAGAACAGCACTATGGCCACGGTGATCCCACCTTGCCCCCGGAAACCATAGAATCATCTTCCTGGTCGTCTGCAAACGAGAGGGAAAGTGGAGCTGAGTCACCGAGGCCCAGATTGAGAGCTGGTCATGTAAGTGTGTCAGAATAATACTCACCCAGGTCTGCCACTGTGCCGCCCTTCACTGGAGTGTTCTCACTGTCCCTCTTGGGGTTCACTGCAGGCATCCAGCCACAGGGATTGAGGAAATCAAAACAAAAATGTCGGGATAAAAACAAAATACATAAATGATCAAAATATAAAAAAGCTTTACAAAATGCAGACAAGCTTGTACAAATAGCCCTTGTATTTTTCATTCTAGGAAACAAAAACTGTTATCCACCAATAAATATGGAGACGTGCCCTCGGGCTGGCAGTAGGGTGTCGTGTCCATTTTAAAGGCGACAAACACCGAACTGCTCAGCTGAGTACAGGAGCCCCAGGGGGACAAGGCTCACCGTTTTTGGGGAGGGTGACCTCCTCCATGTTGGGGACTGGAGTAGGCTCCTCCAGGTCCTTTGTGAGGTCTTCCTCTGGCTCTTCCTCTTCGCGATGGCCACGCCTCTTCCAGTACGGCCCCGAGTTTCTGTGAGTGCACAGTGACGACCCACAGGGAAACCAAGTCACCAAGGACAGCACAAGCCAGATGTTACTCACCAAGAAGAGCTTCACTAAAACACAGCCAGGAACAGCATGGAAACCAGCTGTCAGGCAGTAAAGGTTTGCGACTGCAGGTTTGTAAATGCAGGCGTGTTTTCCAGCATCACCCATAATGCAAAGGAAAAACTCGAGTGGGAAGTGGGTTAATTCTGCACTTACACACCTAGGGGGTGACGGATTTCGTCGTTTAATGCTTTTTTCAGTGTATTGAATGGCACTATGCCAATAAAAAGCGACGATGCTGTGACGGACTGCGGGGGGCAGACACGGCTCTTACCCCTTCTTGCCCCCCTTCTTGCGGGACTCGGCGGGGGGGGACGGGGAACGCCTCCTCTTCTTAGCTACGGCGGCTTTGCGCTCCTTGCGATCAGGTGTACGGGAAGACTGATCAGACATGGGCATGGAGGATGGGAGACAGAGCCGGAGAATGAGAGATGGCCGGTGTCACACGGGGCAGGGGCAGAGGACACAGGGGACGGGGTGAAGGTGAGGAAGAGCACGAGGAAGAAGAGTGTGGCGGGATGGGTGACAGACTGAGGACAGAAATCACACCACAGTGAAGCGTGAAGCCCACGGTTATAAGCAACTGCACTTTACACACAAACCACAGGGGCATTAACAAAAGCACGCTACTGCCCCCCCCCCCAAAAACACACACTCCGAGAGCACTGGGCAGCACGAAAACAGTCGCGACAGCCCCAGTATTCCATTGGCACACCCCCAGGGGGAGCCCTACCTCTTCCTCCCGTGGAAAGATGCGCTGACGGTAACTCACAGGCTTCCGGTTCTCATCCACCTCGTAGTCCTCTTCATTCATCCACTCATTAAAAGCGTCCATGTCCAGAATCCACTTGGCATGGATCTGGGTAACGGTAGGGTAGAGTGGGACGGAGATGAGAATTAAAGACACAATACTCCCCCTCAAAGGGAAGAACTGTTGAGTGAGTCAGCAGCTGAAATGGCACCGAGCACCGAACAGTCACAAGTTCCGATCCCACAGAGAACAAACATTCTAGTTACAGAAGCCTTTGGAGCAGAGGGACCGCACAAGATTATGTGGAAGGTCTCAGTTTCTCTTTTACAATTTTTATATTACACACAAACACCCTTTTCCCTCCCATCACTAAAATCTGATTATAAAAGAACATCAGGCTGTTAAGAGGAAGGACAAGAGATAAAACGCCAACCTAAATACCTTTGGCCCATTAATCGTATGAGACAGTAAGCTAAGGTCCTGTTTACACTTGGTTTTAAAATGCATCTTGGGCGTGTGGATCACGAGTAGACAGCGCTAAATACAGGTGCAAACGACAACCAAGACACACTAGGGTCCAATCACTCTAACCACTTGCCGAGGTGGTCTGGGACACATTTGACCACATATCGTTTGTAGTGCAAATGCAAAAGCATCCTGGGTGCCAAGAGTAACCCAACCAAGTGTAAACAGGGCTGTCGAGTCTGATTCTGCCATTCTTCTGATCTGAGGCTGACCACTCACCTTCCAGGGCTTGTCTGGGCTGGGTGGATCTTCTACATCACCCTCCACATCACTGGCTGACACCCATGTGTCATAGCTGGAGGGAAGAGAGACACAGAGTGTCATGAGAGCAACTAGGACACGGCCAGGTTCAGGAGGCCAGAGACAGGACAGCAATGCCAGGAAGAAAACCCCACAAGCAAAGAGAGAGATTCTGTAGCAGGAGTGCGGCCGGCTGACCTGTCAGGGTACATGCCCCAGTGCACCAGCACTTGCTTGTCCTTCCTCATAACGGGACGCAGCCACTCCTCTGGGGGGTGGGGGGGGCAGATTCCATCATTTATACACAACGCCTGCTTAGTCAGGCACTTTACAGAGCAAATCACTAAACCATCTGCCATGCCGAATATAAAATTAAAGAATAATGCACTAAGCAATGCTGACCAATGCAGGTGTAACCATCAGGCCCCACGGACCTCCACGGCCACGGGGGGGGTCATACTGACCTTCCTCCTGCTGAGGAGGCGATGGGTAGATGTGATGGGTGGCCTTGGACTTATCTTCAGTGACAGAGCCCTGAGAAAAAGACAATGGGTTAGTGTGGCATTTGGCCAACGAGCCCACGTCTCCATAATTAAAATCGGCTGATCCGATCACTTCCTCCCCCCAGCCTTTCTACCCCATATGATGAGGACAGGTATCGCCCACCTGGTGTCTCTTAACAATGTCCTTTAGCTTGGCAGCCAGCTTCTGCTCCATGTCCGGTACCAGGAACACAATGGGCCGTGTCAAGCAGTTATTCTGGAAGAGAACATGGAAGCCTGTTTCTTAGACAAAGGCAATAAACACTGAATGGGAAAAACACAATACAGTGTTTTTCAAATACTGCTGCAATTAATGCCTTAAGAAAAGAGCAGTGATGTAAAAGGTAAGAAAGACGAGGTGACACCTGCACAAGCGTCTTCTCCACGTTCATGAACATCTCTACGTTCCGGTCCATCCTGGACGGGTTCTGCAGGTCGAAGCGTCGCCTGTTTGGGGGAGCAGATGGAAAGAGTGCATTTCTGAAGGGGTGCATTCTTGGATTTTGACTGTCAGGGCACAAGGTGGCACCCACCAGCATTCAAGAAATACCCACCATCCCTGTTCGCTCTTGAATTTGTAAACAGAACCCAGAATGTGGCACAGGGCGCCCCCTGGCTTGAAATCCAGGAAGCTCTTTGCCTGATAATAAGAAAGACATGAGAACTGCATAAGAGGGTGAATGCACAGAGGGCCCTCTGTCTGTGAAAATAGACCACAAGCACTCACAGGCAGCTTGGTGAGGGCGGGATTGTTGACCCTCCGGCCAAAGGCATCTTCTTGGAACTGTAGCAGCTGCACAACCAGGCCAGCCAGGGACTTGCTGGATGGAGAGTCTGTCTGTACGTACTGTAAAGCAGGGAATGGCGGTGAACGCAGGTACATTTCACTTAAAAGAACTTCAACACAAATGAGTGAACATGTGAAAGGTGAAGACAACGAACATGTCAGGATTAAGGTCAACAAAAACGTGACTAAATTCACATAAACATAGAGGCCAAGTGGGAAAGTCTCCTGCAGCTCTACTTTTAAGTACAACGCACAGTAAGCCTCACCAGTGGACACATGTAGTAAAACGATCATCAGACCTAACCAGTTAACCCAGTAAATAAACACAGTCTTAAACTGATTACCAGTTAACAATCCCCCTGGTAGACAGAGCTGCAATGATCCGCTAAGGAACGGCCGAACTCGACCGACACCTACTTAAAGGCGGCGTGTTTTCCAGAGCACTTTTGATTATGCAAACATACTGGACGACCCGCCATCCAACCGTCCATCCATCCATTCATTCCTGTATCTCTCCTGGCTGATAAGCTAGATGGCTGATTCCCTCCTCACAAGCGCCTCTCGGCGTAAAGCTAAATGCTAACAGCTCAAATGCTAATTAGCGCTTCTGGACTACAGAGTGAAATTTCACGGAACATCACCTCCAAATTTCACCATGAATAACTACACTGATTTGGCAGAAGGGCCAGAGCGGTACCGGAAAGCCGCCCTAGCCGGACCGAGGTCGCTAACCTTCTTATAGTGTTTCCCTATCCACAGGCGAACCGACTCCAGCTGAGAGACCGTCTCTCCGCTTTCCCAGAACTTCGCGGAGGGGCCGCCATCTTTCTTTCTGCCGACCGAGAGACTGCTACTACTGCCGCCACCCCCCTGGCCGACTGCTGGTCCTCCCGAACCCGCTGTTCCCGCTGCAGTCGCCGCCGTCGCCATTGTTAGCTCGTTGTCCGTTATTATTCTTCCCCCAAGCACAGCGATCACCCCGAGGCCAAGTGCGGCACTGCGCAGGCGCGGCTTCCAAAATAACGCAAGGCGAGTTCTCGCGATGATACGCGGCGACCATGCGAGGTCTGAAATTCTGAATGAACTATTTTGTAAATATTACTCCAAGACGGCGTTGATTACTCTTCGGAATCTGTAACACTGAAATAACTACCTGTTTTCAGAACACATCATATAACTATTTTTTTACTAACACATACTAACCTAACAGATTAATTATAGTGTATAACAGTGTATTATTGTATAAAATAATTCCATATAAAGAAAACTGAAAATGGAAAAGTAATTTTCCATGAAAAATCTACAGCTTCAAACGTGTTGTTATGCAAGTTCCTCATAAACTATGGGATTCCATTTGTGCAAAAAATATGTCGATATGCATATGAGGTTTTCATTTGTGCAAAATATATGTCAGTAGCACACTATCCATGTCGACTGAACAGGTAACAAAACATTCAACAAAACTATTTTGACAATGAAATTGTCTATGCCGATCGCTCACCTGAGACACCATTTGCCTGTCATTTCAACTTTAAACTGTACTTCTGTCTTCTTATCGCTCCCTGTCGTTTGACTGTTGTATTGCATGTCGACCAAATATGTCAAGACTATGGGGTTCCCATAGAGAACGGCATATCATAACGACGTGTCGACATGTTTGGTCGACATGCAATACAACATGTAAAACGGCAGGGGTGCTAAGACGACATAAGTACAATGTAAAGTTGAATTGTTGCATACAAACGTTTTGTTGGGTGAGCAATCGACATTGTCAAAATACATTTGTCACAAACGAATGTTTTGTTACGTGCTCAGTCGTCGTGGACAGTGTACTAATGACATGTTTTTGGCACAAATGGAACGCACAAATATCTATCGACGCATTTTTGGCACTAATTTTTTTTTGGTACCCCAGTTTCACACATAATGATGTCAGTGGAGATTACTTTTCGTGTGCTGCAGCCTGACGTTCCTTCCAGCTGATGCCATCGAGATGCTCAACAAATCAGAGAGTAATGTCACCCAAAGCCCCGCCCCCACACTCACTTTTATTTTTTTCCGTTTTCATCCTTTCTCTTCAGTGTTCATGCGTGCAGATTAATTTATGATCGCGGCATTATCTAGGTACAGAAAGCGAATGAATATAAAATTAGTTGTTTTTTTTCTGAAGTGGTATGTTAATTCCAAATGCAACGTTTCAACAGAGCTTAACAAATATCAAACACACAAGCAGTTATATGTGCAAAAAGGCACAAATTAGTTTCTGTTTTCACGTTTTGTACTACAAAATGCAAGCAACCATAGAATACTCTTAAACCGAGCGGCATTAATACAGTAAAACGCGAACTGCGATTAGTGCGATATGCTTATTGTAGATTACAAACGCATAAAACAATAACATTTGCTCCGGTTACAAAGTATAGTTGCGGTACGAATGAACTTGCATTTTGTAATACAAATGGTTAATATCATTCAGTATCTATATTTGTTAAATGTTTATAAAACCATGTTACCTGTGAGCGGTAGTTATATATTGATTCCTATGTTTTTATTTCTGTTTCAGTAAACCACAATTACATACTCCCCCAACGAGTATCTGGACTGCTTTATGGGTGGTGTGTTAATTAAAGCGCTACTATCCAGCTATAGAATAACCTGTCAAAGGTAGGCAAATAAACCCAGTGTTCTGATCAGACACCCTGTAAAGGTTACCACCGGGAGAGAATCGACGTCCCTTTTCTAAACCAGCACTCTTTTACAAGTAGGACTGCCAGGTGACCAGAAACACACACATAGTATGGGAGACTAAATAGTTTTGCATCATAAATAATTTTACACTCAGCATTTTTCAACCCCCAGTGCCTCAGGGAATTTGCCCCCAACCTTGAGAACTTCACTATACAAGTCAAGTCAAGTCAAGTGGCTTTTATTGTCATTTCAACCATGTGCATTGATATAGTACATAGTGAAACGAGACAGCGTTCCTCTAGGACCATGGTGCTACGTATAACACAGGACTACATGAAGTGCAAGTGTGCCGAAAGTGCAAACACGGCAAAAACAGTGCGACACGCAATAGAGGAAATAGAAGAGATGATAATGGTTAAGACAAGTGTAAAATCTAAAGTTCAACAGTGCGATGGGTTGTGCAAAAAGTTGTTAAGGTAGTGGAATGCATAAAGGTGTGTGTGTCTCCAGTCTCTGATTGTGCAGGAGTCTGATGGCTTGGGGGAAGAAGGTGTTACACAGTCTGACAGTGAGGGACCAAATGCTCTGGTACCGCTTCCCAGAAGGCAGGAGGGTGAAAAGTGTGTGTGAGGAGTGTGTGGGGTCTTTCACAATGCTGGAGAGTGTGTGTGAGGAGTGTGTGGGGTCTTTCACAATGCTGGAGAGTGTGTGTGAGGAGTGTGTGGGGTCTTTCACAAT